CCATGGATACATTGTGCAAACCCATGTTTCTGACTTCTCTGTTCAGATTTGTGACGGGAAAACAGTGTTTTAACTTCCTTATTCCGAACCATCTGGAATACTGAATCCATTCCTTCCTAATGGAGTTTGGCGGATGTCGTACCTGTTTTCAAGAAGGTTCCGCTTCCACGATTGCTCCAATCACCGAGGGATTAGTCTCATCTCCGTTTCATCCAAGATATTAATGTCGTTGATCCTTTGCAGGCTCAATTGGACAAGAGAACGTCATATCCGCGAAGCACAAGCTGAATTCTGCCCTGGCTGGAGCTGCGTTGATCAAATGTTTACGCTACGCCAGATCCTCGAGCAAGGTCAAACGTTCAGTAGACCGACCATCATTGTGTTTTTGGACATACGTACTGCGTTTGACTCAGCTGATAGAGCAGCACTTTGGACTTGTCTTTTAGGAAGCGGTGTGCCCGAGAAGTATATAAACCCTCTCAAAGCCGTCTCAAACACATCAGGCCGCGTCAAGGTCCATGATGATATCTCCCATTCATTTACCATCACAAGTGGAGTTCATCAAGAGTGTCCATCTTTGCCCTTCCTCTTTAACTTCACAATAGAAAAAAACACTAAGCAGCGCTCTAGAAAACTGCAGGGCTTCCGGTGTGGAGCTCCTCCCAGGTGATCGACTCCGTAACTTGGTTCAGTTCAGTTCAGTTTGTACAACCATTAACCATGCACTTTCGTGCGCCGGTTTTAGTTGCTATCTTTTGACTGCCCATTTGGATGAATAATAGGAGAAGACAGAAAAGCTGAAGGTAGAGTCGAACAGAAAATGGAGAAGTTCAGTGGTCAAAGATTGCAAAGAAATTGAGAAGACGCGAAAACGCCACTGTTTACGACACCCAGCCATATCATTCATTGTATCTAACCATCATCCTGGGGTCCCCAGCCAGGGAGCCTAACGGGACCTATGTGACCCAGACTCCTGGCTAGGGTTTTCATACCCTCGACATTGTTTTTATCGATATCTGCATAGCGTCCTTGATTTGCTTCCAGTGGTCATTGAGTCCCTCGACTAGTGGTTGAATTGACAGGCGATCGGAGAGCTCCGTTTGGAAGGTCGATTTGCAACCATCGGGGAAACTGTATCGTAGGTATCCGTTTTCGGTGGCTTTTCTGCGGTTGTTTGTCAGGCGTAAGGAGAATTTGGCTCGTAACAAGGCGTGGTCTGTATCCACGGCTGTTGACCAGTAAGAGCAGCAGTCTTGAATTGATCCCCTCCAGCGGCAACTGATGGTGATGTGGTTGATCTGGGTCCAGCGTTGTAAAGAGGTTGACGGTTTCCATGTAAGACGGTGACGTTTCTTCTGTGAGAAGTTCGTGTTTGACAAGAACAATCCGTGGTCCGCGCAGAGTCGAAGTAAGCGATCTCCGTTGTCCGTCCGGTTGGCTGGGATTGCATGCGGTCCGCCAAGAAGTCTTTCTAATTCGTCCATGGATCCCACTTGAGCATTGAAGTCTCCGGCGGTTACTACGACGTCCGTTGATCGAACAATTCGGAGTAACTGAGAAAGATCCCTGTAGAATAAATCCTTGATTTCAGGTGTACTGCAATCGGTCGGTGCATACACCGATACGGCGAACAAGCATCGACGCTTCATTCTGTAGCTGTTGCCCCATGCTGAACCGTTGAGACGTACGGCTCATAGTCGGATACTGACTGGAATCCAGTCAAGAAGCGAGCTCCGCCTTGGCACTTAGCGCAATCCCAACGCCAGCAACACCGCGAGCTTCGGATGCCGAATCGCCTGACACACGGAGAGTGAAGCTCGAGGATGAGGCCGAACCTGGAGAACGGAGGGAGATGACTGAAGTAGGATCTTGTATGCGTGTTTCGGAGGCACAGCATACATCTAAATGGAGGGTTTCAAGGATTCTATTTAGGGCAGCTTGTTGACCGATCTGGTAGAGTGTGCGGACATTGAACGCGGCTAAGTAAAAAGCGGATTTTGGCTTTGAAAATCTTATAACTTCTGATTGTCTGGCCTTGCTTGTAAAACGCTGGTTGATATTCGATGGGTGGCGTAAACAGGAGGCATTTGGGATTATTTGGGATTGAGAAGAACTAGACAGACGGGGAAGATGGTTTTCCAAATGGGTACCCAAGACTTTAGGGCACGGCATACTTTGCGGTAGCCCACACCGACGAAAGGGTTTTTCTTTGGGAACCCTAACCGGAGCCTTCGACTCAAAAGTCTGACACACAAGGCAGTGGGACGTAAATCCAACGCGGGAGCGTGAACGAAGCACCCGTGTGGGAGCTTCTAGAGACCTGTCATGCAAGGCGTTTGAATTTCGATTAATTGTGTTGTTCGCTGGTGCGTTGATTTTCGGTCCGGTTTTCGGGATCGGCACCCAATGAGACAAGCGGAACAAGTGGACGGGACAGCACCTTATTGGCTTGGGGCTACCCAGCTTGGGCGGGCGTTAGTTGTCCAATGAAGTGCGAAGACTTCTCCCACCGTCGAGAGGAAGCACAAGGCACCCCGTTCCTACGTCCATCTAGCGGGGGGTTTTGACCAGAAAACTGCCCCTCACCGTGTTTATTTACTGGAGTGACCTCTCCAGGGGCGGATGTGGATATAAGAAAGAAGCCAGGGGGTGCNTCCTCCCAGGGAGCTCAAAACGTCCTGTGTAATTTAGCATTGTCCGTCACGCAGTTTGGTATGACATTTTCTCCATCGAAATGTAAGTTATTAATACAAGACTGGCAAGAGGCGAGACCTATCCTTACGCTCATGAATGACCAGTTGGAAATCGTCGATCACTTTAACTATCACGGGAGTTGTTTCAGCTCAAGAGGACTGACGAAAGAAATATCAGCGTGTATCCGCAAGGCTCGAGTGGCTTTCGCTAACCTACGTTACTTGTGGCGCCGACGCGATCTCAGTCTCTCCTTGAACGGCCGCATTTACAATGCCACAATACACTGTCCCACTCCACGGCTGAGTTGGCCCCTCCACTCAGAAGTGTCTTAAATGTCTTTGACCACCGTTGCCTTCGTTGCATCGCCAGACTATGTTGGCAACAGCGAATCACCAACGACGAGGTTCGCCGAAGAATCTTCACCGCCGACAAGCTCAGTCGTCTTCTGAGTGCCGTCATTTCGCTCCAGATATTTCGATGGCTAAGACATGTTTTGCGGATGCCTGCTTGACGATTGCCCCATCGTGTTATGTTTGCGCAAGCAGACACTGGCTGGAAGCGGCGACAAGGTGGAAACCGAATAACCCGGGCTCGAACAGCGAAGGTGCTAACCTCAAAACTGGCAGTGGTAGGGCGCTCTAGACTCCCAGGTCGGGGTCCCAAGGGCAGAGAACATCTATGGCTTGATACACTTGCAGACATGGCTGGCAACCGGCGTCAATGGTGCACCTGTTGCAAGACTATTATTCTTTGATTTACATTTAAACTGTTTTCATATCTCTTTATTCATATGTTGTGGCACATCTGTCAATATTATGTAATTGATTTCTGGTTATATATATATATATATACGCAATGTTTTCCGCCTAATTAGGAATGTCCTAGGAAAATAATCGTGAGGTAATAAGGAATCCGATGGCACAATCAGCAACGCCGTCTTGATCGATGGGCTGAACATTTCGAGGTTCAGTTCAACTGGCACCCATCGACATCTCAACTATCACTCGCCGACCCGACTGCGCAAATTCTGTCATTCGATGCCAATCCTTCATCTGAAATGGAGGGTTCTCCGAAAATAAGCCATCTCAAAAGGCATAAGGCCTCCGGCCCCGACCGGCCTCTCTCCATCCGTTTTTAGGAATGGAGGCTCAGCCTTGGTTTTGGAGTTAACAAAACTCCTGGGCTCAGTGTGGGAGAGGGAACAAGTTCCAACTGAATGGTGTGAATCGGTGATCATACCGATTTACAAGAAAGGTGATAGATCCTCCTGTGAAAACCACAGAGGAATTAGTTTAATCAACATTGCCTCTAAACTTCTCGTTGGTATCATACTCCGTCGATTGTCTGCCACTCGTGAAGAGTGCACGCGTGAGAACCGGGTTGGTTTTAGGCAGATTGTGCTGGGATTACAGTAAAGTTGACAGCAGCATGTGTAATCTGATGGTCACCACAGTTGAATACGTAACAAAAAAATCACCAAAAGATCCATAAGTGTATTAGCATTGCGAGCAGTACTAGGCTTCTGATGAGTCGATCTGTGCTGCTTTTATTAGAAGGAATAACTTTTCAAATTTCGCCATGGGGCTTTCTCATTTTACTTAACGTTTTGGTAGTCTGAGTTGACTGCATCATATGACCCACCTAGTAACTGAATTTTGTTGGATTTTATCTTTCAGCACCCTCCTTCGTTGTTCATTATTTTGGAAACGAGAGCCTAATAAGCCTAGGTTGATCCCCTCACCTTGTTCTTTCTTTCAGATATTCAGGATGAATGGTGATAAAGACGCATCAAAGGTCCTCACTGTCTCCCGAGCGTACTCTTTGGAGAAGTATCAGATGCTGAGGTACGAGGTTTCCTCTCCGTCTACCATCACTCTGATCTCTGGAACCGCAGAAATATATGGCACAGAATTGGTGACTGGAGTAGAATTACATATTCCTGCGGGCCAGAGGGGAACAGTGGCGACGTTTCATGGTTGTAAAGTTGTAGTTCACGGCTATGGAATCGCTGCTTATCTTCTTAGTTCGTCGGAGGACCAAGATATTCTCCACGTGTATATGAACTTACATGCCAGTTTGGAATCGATGCGTAAAGTAGCAGTTGAGGAGCAGGGACGAGGACCTAGGGTTTTGGTGTGCGGACATGAAAGTGTTGGAAAATCTACATTGTGCCGCACATTGGCCAGTTACGCGGCACGGAGGAAACACAAACCAATATTGGTTGACGTAAATGTAGGATTAAATCAGGTTAGTATATCGCTTTCGTATCATTTTTGTCATCGTTTTGTGCAGCGATCTAATCCTTCTTGTCATTTCATAATATCATTGTCTGAATCTCTGTATAATTCTCTTCGCATACGAAATATTCTATGCATATTTTGTTTTATCAATGAGAGTGAAAAATCAAACACGTATATAATGATATGGTGAATTCCGTTGAACGAAGAGCAAATGGGGTTTTATTTAATAAGTTAGGAAGTACTGGACAGCTGTTTTAACCTGGTTTGGTCTCGTCAACAGTGTCAATTTATCGACCAGACTGAGAATTGAACCCGGGACCTCAAAGGCAAAGCGCAAGCATACTGGTCATTCGACCACCGGGCATCTAATCAGACCGCTTTTCATTTTGGTTAGTCACGGTATAGTACAACCCATCTTTGCGAGCTTAATAAAAGCGTCAAACCTTGGCAGATTCATTAGGAAATGTATATCTAAGCATGCAAGGAATATCTGGTCTGATGGGTGGTGGTGTCGGCTCAACAACTGATTGACTCTCTGAGGTTGACACATGGACATGCTTGAATTGGTAATTGTGGTCATTCAGGGTGTGCTGCTTGCCATAGTAGTAACAAGTCTTTCATGTGGTGTGTCCAGTCGGACTGGTGGAGACGTACCATTGATGAGCTATGATTCGAACAACATTGTCGTTTGTATCTAGTAAGATGAGTGGTTAATGGACAGTTATCCAGCTTTGTGAACCGAGCGCTGTCTTATCCAGCTACCTTTATCTGTTAGCCTGAAATAGATAGATCTCTAAGACTATACATATTAGAAACGGAAGAGAAATAAAGGTAAACAAGCGTGTCAAATTTGTGTTTATCTCTTTACTGGTGTCAATGTTGGATTGTTGTACTACTTGGTCACCCACACCACAATCAGAGCCTGACTTTGGAGATCTTTCACGGAGCATTCGACAAAATAAACTAACTTAAAAGGCATGGAGACTAGTGCTTTGAACTTTGTCACAATTGGTGTCGATCAAGAAAAGTGTGACAGTCAACTTTTGCTGGACAGACTGATGATAATCATTTGGTTACTGCTTTACGATATAAGTGATACTATTGAGGGATCCATTATCCACATGATATAGCGAACAGAAGTGTCCCGTCCTCTGCTTCGTCCTAGAAATGCAGTCGGATTGTCGCTGAAAAGGATGAGGTAATTTACCAACCTTTTAGTTCGAAAATAAGTTTTCGTTCATAAAATAAGCTTAAAATGGCTGGAAACTCTCTCCCCCCCCCCCTAGGTTTGTATGCCCACAACCATCGCCGCGGTCGCTATAACAAAACCTTACGACTTAATGGAAGGATGGGGCTTGGAAGAGGATCCTTTGGTGTTTTGTTTCGGTCATGTCGATCCGGACAGCAATCTGAATCTGTTTCGAGAACAAGTAAGTTGATTATACACTCATATTTTTGATTCTTTATCTCATGAATAGCACTATTTTCTAGTGGCAATACCTAGCATGTTCTGTCCCAATCGAATCTTATCGACTCTCGTTGTCATAAGTTAATGACGTATGTCACGCCAAAAATAGATTCCTCAGCGGTTTACGAATTCACAAAGGGGATAAGTTTAAGAACAAGGTGAAATCTTTTCATTGCAAGTCAGGAAGAGAAATATAATGAGCGTGTGGAAGACCGCAAGCATTCACAAATACAAGAGTGTGGTTTTGAATAACGTTAATTTCCTCACTCTGTTTGCGAAAAAAAGACATTCTTCGGACTTTAACGAAAACATTGTCAACGTGCCCGGGAAATGTTACGGGTCTTGGCTAGTTGAGGTTAACCGAAGAAATATGCCCACCGTAGTGTTTTAGTCACAGTAATTTTTTTTGTTTCTGATGTAATCCTGAAAAAAGATTCAAGTTGTATCTACCTCTGAGCGTACATGTGCATGTGCGTCTATATGATGAAGGGTAAACTATTTTCAGATACAGTTTCTAATTGCAGCGGATCGGTGAACCGCTGGAAGTTCACCTAGGGGAGTTGGTTAGAAACCCTGATACCAAACCAAACAAGAAGATATGTGCAAACCACACACATACCTTCCTTGTACCGACTTGGTGGGGCATCGAGGTGTATTGGGTACCTGGGACGGATTATTGTACCGAACTACAGACCAAACAAATCCCGGTACAATAATCCTTATTCAAAGAAAAATTTCTGTGATTTGTTCGAGGGCTAGGTTGCCCAGGCCAAAGCAGGTAAATTTTCTTGCGGCATTTACTACAAGAGCCTTCGGTTAGCCAAAGCCTGACTCGTAAGACAGTGAAACGGTGCACGAAAACTGCAATTCATTGGGGGCCCGTGTCCAGTTCATCGGACCATACACCATTTGGAAGAAGTCAAACGTCCTCGATGCCCGTTAACCACTATCACAACCAGCAAAATGTGGGTGTGTAGTTCGTAAGCATCATTTCGTTTGGTTTGGAATTAGGGTTTTCAGCGAAATCCCCTTTCGTATTACTCGCTTCTGTCACTAATGTAGAGCACATGCGTTTAGCTAGTATCGACATGCAAATAAGAATGGCTTTTTGACACATTTCACTATTTTCGAATATGATTCTGTATTATCACTTTAAATAAATCTATTATGTCAACTCCAAGTCCATTTGTCATGAAGTGCTTCACAATAGAAGAGTTTTTTTTATATACTTTGACTGTTTTATCGATATTGTGTGGTCGTTCTACAAAGTTATCAATATCAATTGGTGACGAGAGTTTATCGTTTTGCAGATGGTCTTTTATGCAAAGGTTACGTGATCAAACAAATTTCTAGCTAATCCTCTGGTGTTTCTGTTTCTGTCTTCGCAACCATTGATCATACACTTTCTTGCGACGGTTCTGGTTGCTGTCTCATGATTGTCTACTCGAATGAAGGAGTAAAGGGAAGGTTGGAATATTCAGTGTCAGTGTGAAAATGGAGAATTTATGAAGACTAAGGTTACGGGGATATTGAGTAGATACATGAGCGATTGGGTTATCAGTCTGCTGTTGGAAATCGGCCTTTAGTTTCATGTACCCATTGAGACCGGTGAAACTTGGGCGGGACTGCACCTTATTGGCTGAGGGTTACCCAGTTTGAGCGGGCGACAGCTACCGGAAAAAATGCAAAGACTTCTCTCGTTCCAGGCATCCCGTGCTTACATTCATGTGTCGGGGGGGGCAATATCGGTAAATTGTTCTTCTTCGTGTTTATTTGCAGGATTGACCTATGCAGGGGCGAAATTGGAGGTGACAAATCAGCTAGCCTTGTGAGACTGAGCTTTAGCTGTTTTCTACCCACCGACCTTGCATCCTTGGTTCGATCTACGGCTGTAAGAAGCCATCCTGTATAGCTCGCTGGATTTTTGAGCTTTGCGAGTTATCATGCTATTTCAAGTTGCCGTTTCTCGCGGTCCCCGTTAAGTTTATGCAATTGCATTTGCTTTAGAAACTAAACTATACTGTAGTCACCACAAGTTGCCTTACATTTTGTTAGTCAAAATGAACCTTAGAGCTAGTCTTGCTTGCTCCTGTGACCAGTTTAAGTTTTGTCTTGTTTATTGTGAATCAAATTAAATGATTTCGTCATTATGCAATTTTATCAGGTCAATCGTCTAGCAGAACAAGTGAACATTCGATCAGAGAATGACACGAAACTGTTTACCAGCGGCTGCATCATTAACATGGGCGGATTTCGGAAAGATGATATTGATGGCGGGGCGAGCAAAGATAAAGGTATTCAGGCCATCCGGGCCACCGCAGCAGCATTCGAGGTGAGTGAGGCATTGACCTTTTATAGTGCTTTCTCATCACCAGTTCGGAATCTATTTCGCGTCAGACAGCAACCAAAACCGGCGCACGAAAGTGCATGGTTAATGGTTGTAAAACTGAACTGA